ATAACTAACACCCAGAATGCGAGAGAGGACATAATGATACTGTGAGCACAATAGAAAACTTTGTGCCTATTAAGTAGTTAATAGCATGGATGTCTTAATATGACTGATATATGATACAAAATATGAATAGTTTCATAGGTATCAAAGAAACTGAATTCATAATTTCAGTCTTCCACAAAGAAAACTCTAGGTGTCTATGGTGGTTTGAATGAGAAGTGTCCTCTATAGGCTCTAAGTATTTGAACACTTAGTTGATGGCCCTGTTTGCGGAGGGTCATGGAACGTTTAGGAGGTGTGGCCTTGCTGGAGCCCACTAGGGATGGGCTTTGAGAGTTCACAGCCTTGCCCCACTCCCAGCTTGCTCTCTGCTTCCTGCATGTACTTGAAGATGTGAGCTCTTGGCTTTCTGCTGTTTCCTGCTATGCCTCCCCTGCCATGATGGACTCTTGTCTCTCTGGATATGTAAGCCAAATGAACTCTTCCTTCTATAAGTTGCCTTGGTCATGATGTTTTATCACAGCAACAGTAAAGTAACTAATACACTGTCTTCACCAGTAATTCTTTCCATATTTAAGGAAAGCACAATATAATGTTTTATGAAATCTTCCAGTGAGTAGAAAATAATGAAGAGTAAAAAAAAAATGAAGGATTTTTGCCATGTATTTTATTTAGACTTTATAACCTTAGAAGACTAGAGAAAGGAAAAATATGGAATAATTTATAAACACAGGTATAAAAATTATACAGAAAAGATTAGCAAATGGAATGCAGGAAAACATTGAAAGGATAACTGTAGCAACCAAGTTGAGTTATTACAGGAGGCAAAGTTGACTTATTATTCAAACATAATTAGTACAACTTATATTACCAGAAAAGAGAGGAAATATTATTTAATTATTTAAAGCAGAAAATTCATTTGTTAAGTTTCCACACACATTTGTGAATAAAACTTTCGGTAAATTATAGATAGACAGAAGAAAACAATGTTACCCTGGCAAAGGGCACCCTCAAAAACCTATTGTAAATATCATCTAATGATGAGCTGTTTAACTTTTCTCTCTAAAATTAGGAGTGTGGGAAGGTTGTGCTCTTCAACTCCTCTTTAACACTGTACAGGAAGTTGTAGCTGACAAAATACCACAAGAAAAGAAATCTAAAGATTTAAAGATTGGAAAGAAGAAATACAGACGTTACTTTCAAAATATTTTATTTATTATTTTTATTTTATGGGTATGAGTGTTCTGCCTGCATGTATGTAAGTGTACCTGTGGTGTGCAATGCCCATAGGGCTAGAAGAGGGCACTGGGTTTCCTGGAATTGGAGTTACAGATGGTTGTTAGCTGCCATGGGGATTCTGGGAACCAAACCCAGGTCCTCTGCAGGAGCATCCAGCACTCTCAACCACTGAGATGTCTCTCCAGCCCTTGATTACTTTCCGGGGGGTGGGGGGGCAGACAAAAGGGTTTATTTTATCTTACATCTCTCGGGTAACAGCTCATCAGGGAGGCCAAGGTAGGAACTCAGGGCAGGAACCTGGAGGCAGGAGCTGGAGCACAGGCCATGGAGGAATGCTGCTTACTGGCTTGCTCCCCTGGCCCCTGCTCAGCCTGCTTTCTTATGCAACATAGGCCCACAGTGGGCTGGGCCCTCCCACATCACTC